CCCCATCCCTATTATAAGAATATATCATGTTTATTACCTGTACTCACAGCAGCAATACTGAATGCAGGTACGAGGTTGTCACTGAACGCTACTTGTTCGCAGGCTTGATCCTGAGTCACATGTGTGTCACATGTGTGTCACATGTGAGTACAAACTGTCACATGTGTGTCACATGTGAGTAAAAACTGTCATAACAAGTCGAACTAAAACTCTAAAACATTGTCAGGAAAAGCACATTTTCATCTTGTTACACATGTTTTCACAAAACATATCAAGCAAACAGGACAGAATTGAAATGAGCTGATCAAGAACTTACGACAAATTTAGAAGCAGCAACGTTGAAGCAGTAGTTGAGAGTGAGATTGTTGATACCAGGGTTGATTCTCTTTTGTCCCCGGGTAGTTTCCTTCCCATCTAAAATGTGTACCAGCTCTTTCACCTGAAATGTACATTTTTACATAGGAAAACGATTAGATGCGCGCTTATATATTATGTTCAAGTGTAAACCAAGGATATATAGTTAAAGTGTTCTTAGATTAAAACTATGCTCATCGATCAGCAAAATGAAAACATCGAAGACGAGTGGCCTAATTTCATGTTATTTTGTATAACAGGACTAAGAAAATCAAAGCGTAACATAAATCAAAATGCCGATAATAACCTTGTCTCTACATCTTAGATTATATGCACACACTTATGCATCACTCAATAAACGTCGCATATCTCATAAATTACACTGCCAACATGGGACATTTTTTATTATCGCCGCGTATTTCAAATCAAGTTACAAACTCTACAAATTTTGAAGTACTCAGTCTTGTTTTACTTTTTTAATCTTTACCTATTAACCATTGGAAAATAAAACTTTAAGTTATAAACCTTCCTTGCATACTTTACCGGTAGAGTCTAAATTGAATAGTTTGAGATTTCCTTTACATTTTATATTAATGCATGTGCCCCACGGGGATGAATTTCTTATTACCATTGATATTATATATATATATTTTTTTTAGTAAACATTGGCTGGTACCACGGGCCAGTCCCCAACAAAAATAGATTAAGCCTCATCAAATAACATACTGCTCAATTTAAAGACAGATTTCATTAAATCAAGGACCACTGATCCCCAATACCGATCTCCAATACCGATCCCCAATACCTTGTTAGCCATATGATCGTTGCTGCTGGCACTAATACTGTTGATAGGAGTGACGGTTATTAGCTTCAGAGCTGATCTCATCTTAGCACAGTCTGTGTTCTTGTCGACTACAAACTTTTGGATTCCTAGTTCCAACTCCTGCGGTAGATCTATATTTAACATTATAAAACACGGACATTCCAGAGTAAATAAAAGATATTTTCATCTGTTAGGATTCAATTTTTACTTAGATTGGGTAGCACTAAACCTTACCTTAAGTTGTTTGTCAATTTTCTGATACTCGCTGAAGGCAGTGCTGCTGATGATGTTTCCACTTATTATGGAATCTGAAATATGTAAGTGTAATGTTTACTGTAAAAATAAAATAAACTAACATAGAAATGGTGACTTGTGAACACGATTCAATAGTTAAATCAAGAAAAACAATAGTAAGTTTCAAACTTGAAATCTGGTCTGAACCTGTTGATACTTTAGATTGAACGGGGCCTGCAGAAGGTTGCTGTTGCGTAGCTACAGGGGGAGGTAGAGGTTGCTGGGATGCAAGTGGTTGCTGCGCTACAACGGCTTCTGGTGGTGGTTGCTGTGCTGCAGCTGCTTGTGCCTGCTTCCCTCGCTCTTCCTCCTCTTTCTTCTTCGCTTCCTCCTGAGCTAGCATCTTCGCTGCCTGCTCCTCGTTTACCCTCTTTATGGCAGTGTTCAGCTGCTTCACTGCGTTTATCACGTGACCATAGACTGCTCCGCACTCTTGCTGTATAGTTAGAACATGGTATAATTTGTTCTGGTTTAATTCTGTTCAAAACGAGGTATACTAAGCAAAAGAAGAAATAACAGTAAGAACAATATCACAATTCATTCATTCACGTTATCATATTGCAATCATGTAATTTCCCTGTCACATTCCACAGATTTATTAATTATCTGCATACAGGAATCAGTAAGCCTGTCCTTTTTATACGTTTATTACCGCTTGAATCAATTCCACGCAATTGTCTAATTTTCATAAAACTACGAACAAACCTCAAATTTAGTTGACGTCAGTGGGTTAAGTTTGCCTTCCTTGTAAAGTTGTCCAACAGCCAATTTAAGGGCTGACATGGCTTTACTTTGTTTGTCAATCATACTCAATAAAGCCTCAATCTCTGGATCCACTTTTGGATCAGGGACACACTTTTGAGCGACAGTTACTATTTCTGAAAATATTGGAAGTCTATCAACATCTAATTTTAAAGTTGTAAAATCATGTTATTACACTAAGATTAACATAACTTAACAAATATTAGCACCAGATCCCAGTATGAAACCACCACCCACCTAATGTGCTGAGCTCGTAGTTAGAAATGTTGTTCCAACTGCTACTTAGCTGACGCTGATTCTCTGCCTCTTCTTCAACTTCAACTCTAGAAATTTTCAATAATTATCTGTTAGATTTGGGTTCTCTATAAAGGTTGAGTAAAGTCTGGTCCTTTTTTTAGTGGATGGGGGTACATTATTATTAATTAACCTATAGCATATAAATTATACAAACTGAAAAAATGTATTGATTATAATATGTACCTTTTGATATTTGCCTGATCCTCTTCAAATTTCTTTTGGAAGAATTCCTGCTGTTTTCGGTACTCAGACTCTATGGAATTGTCCCTGAAGTTTACCCTTTTATTCTATGACTACAACAGACATCAAACAGCTTTTTTAAACATCTTATTATGTATGCCAATTTAAGGGTAAGATTTATAAAATAGCTCTCATTTGATTATGAAGCCATACTTTTGAGATTTCCGATCTCTCAGCTCCTTTACTTGTTGTTGAATTTTTGCTCTCGATCTTTCAGACCATTGTTCATAACTCTCTTGGGAAAGCTGGGCAGATCTTTTGAAGAATTCATCTTGTTTTTTCTTCTCCCGTTCAATGTAATCCTAATTATAGAAGAACATGATGAAGAAAAAGAAATTATTATGTATTTGTTTATAATAATTTTATAACATATGAAGTTCGTAATCAGAAATTGTGAAATTGGCTTACCACACCAGCTTTCTTGTTTTTCTGCTCTATCTCCAGTAAGGACATAGAATCATTAAGTGATTCCAGTGATTCAATGACTGCCAGTGATTTGTTGAGATTAGTTTCAAATGATTGGTCAAGATACGAAGTCGTTTCTATGATTTCTTCTGTCTCTTTGGGACTTCTCAAAGGAACTCTTCCTCTAGTTTTTGATCTATAAGCATGTATGTCAGGAGACTGGTCACACACTCTATCAATAGCTTTTTTATTGACTGAAGAAAGCTGATTAACTGGAGGGAGCTCTTCCTGAAAATAAGATTGGTATGTTTTTTCTTGTTGGTCAACATTTACCCCACATCCAGAAACACGCCATCTTGCAAGGCAGCCTGGGAGGAAATTTTTTTTGGGAGGAAAAACGGGAGAAAAGAAGAAATTTTTGAGAAGTTACTCCTAAATTTCGAAATATTTTTTTGGAATAAAGACAAATTAATTGAGGAAATTTTTGAAGAAAACGTTTCGATTGTATAAAAATCAAAGAGGAACATCCTGTCAGTTTTGGAACACAGTGAAATATTCTGATTGGAGAATGCAGATTGCTGTTGTGAAGTTACCAAATTTACGTGAGTACTTGATTCTTTTCAATCCCAGTTTATTGCTGTCCTACAAATTTCTTTAATGCCAAATGCCGTCTAAAACACCCTATTTTGCAAAAAATTTCCGGGGGGCTGCGCCCCCTAGCCCCCGCCAAGGGGCTCTGCCCCTGGCCCCCGCTGGGGGATGCGCCCCCAGACCCCTGCCACAGCTTGCTCGCTGCGCAGATGAATGGGACACGTGGACTCGCTTCGCTCGCCGACAGCCCCCTCCCCAAACTTGCGAGCGAAGCGAGCCGGCCACAGAATTTAGAAAAAAACGCATCTGGGAGGAAATATAAAACTTTCTGGATGTGGGACATTTACAGTTCAACAAAGATATCTTTTAAAGACTTCTGCAAAAAAAAATTTCAAATCTGTTGATCAGAACAGAATAAGGATTTCATTACTATACCTCAGACAGTACATGTTTTCTGTTGTAGGGTACTCTGCCATGAGAAGAATTCCTCAATGACTCCAAAACATTAGGAGCAGCTTTGATATCACTTTTCATGTTTCCAAACTCACAAATGGTTTCAACAGCTTGAATGGTTCGGTCTGACCTATGTTTGCTCTGGATCTTGTACCTTAAATCAGATTTCCTCAACTCATGATACATTGCATTGTCACTGGAATTATCTGCTTCCTTTGTTGTCTTTGTTATGCAGCGCTTTGAACTACGGACACCACCAGGTTCTTGTTGATCAGTTGTAATTTGTTTGGTTTTTTCACTGGTTTGATAAATATTTTCTATCCTTGATGGGACAGTTACCTTAAAAAGGACTGATCTTTGTGATTTTGTTGGTGATGAGGGCATGATTTTGTAGTACCTATGGTGGTTTATCATATGTTAAAAGTGTTAAGTTGCCTTTATGACTAACAATCTTATATCCCAGGGCTTTGCTATATAAGCATATGATGTTATATCATGTATGTCTTAATACGATTTTGTTACTACTACTCATTACAAGTTCATAGTGTAGTTACTGGTTTCAATCCTTGAAGCTAACAAAAAGTGAGCAAATTAATAAGTAGATGTCGACCTTTAATAAAATTCGAATCTTGGAAGATTTGAAATGAATAAAGTTATGCTTAAAATTATAGAGAATAAGTTTAAAATAAACTCAAAATCAGAATACAAAACATCTCACACCATACTGCCAACTGGAGACTAATAAAACGGATTTGTACAAAATTCAAGAGTCTATATGAGCTCTCTTAAATAACTTAAGCTTATCTGTTTCATTTGATGGCTGCTATAGCTAAGAGCCTATGATATATGTAATTTTTTGCAGAAGGCTATTAAAAGTTGTATATAAAAAAGTCTTATATATAGATGTGTGTAGTAGGAGCGGCGAAAGCTGCAACCTATATGTTAATAGATCAACATCACATAAAAACTTTCAATACTTGGGGGCAAAATGTTGGAATAATGTTCCAACAGATCTACGAAATCTGCCCGATGTTAAAAGCTTTAGTGATTCGTATAAGAAACAGCTACTCTCATCTATAGTTCAACAGACCCTAATTATACCGTCGACAATTCATATGACAAATTTTACACTGCAATCATAGTCGACGATAACTAAGTATCTTCTAATTATTTTAAATCTGAGGCATATATAATTGATGTATCGAAAGGATATTCCCTTTTTTACCACCTTACTGTTGATTTGATAATATAACTTGACTGATATTTTATGATATATGTTTTATATTTCGGTTTGATTTTATAAGATGGTCATATCTTAATATTATTATAATCCCTAGGGAGGGATGGCTTACGACGTTTATGATATGTCACTGCTCAAGAGTTTTCTCACGACTAAAGACTCTCTAAAGGAATAAGAACGACTTAGAAGGGACTTGATACAAATATGAGACAATTGTGATATGAATGTGTATTATGAACAATTTGATAACCATTTCATTCAATAAGTGTATTTCAATTAGATCCAAGAAATGAGACTCAATTAGACTCTATATAACATGGTAGCAGGAAGTTTTTGAATCGTTATTGATTGTTATGCTCAGTATTTGTGTCAAGAGCTAGGATTTGTTGGAAGTTTTCTAATAACATTTTATAGGTTCTTATGTTATGGGAGAAAAGCAAAGTGTACCAATGCTGTTGGACAAAGAAGACTATCCCCTGTTTAAGAAGAAAGTTGAAGCTTGGGAGATTCTCACCACTTTGGATGACGCGAAGCGTGGGCTAAAGTTAGCTGTTAGCATCAGGTGTAAAGTGATTTCTGCTGAATTGTTTTCTAGACTCACTGTTACTGAGATGAACGTAACCGGAAGCGTCAAAGTACTGATCAAAGAACTAGATAAGATATGCCTCGCTAATACTGTGGAGGGGGTTTTCACAGCGATTGAGAAGTTGGAATGTTTTAAACGAAGAGAAGACATGTCCATTATGAAATATCTAGATGAGTTTACCAGAATGAAAAGACTTGTGGAGGAATATATGCCAGTGGGTGACAACAACGCTAAAAAGGACTGTTCTGACAGTATATTAGCATACAGATTGATGAAGCATGCGAATCTTGTAGAATCTGAAGAGCTTATGGTGAGAGCTCACTTAACTGAACTTACTTCAGATGCCATTATTGATGTGTTGAAGAGAATCTATGGTGATAGAAAAGTGAAAACTGCCAGCACAGTGAGCAATAGTACAATAGAGTTTGACCCTTCTTTAAAAATAAAAGAAGAACAACCTTTCTTTAATGAAAATGAAGATTGTTACTATGGATACAACAACAAACCTTACGTGAACAAGAAGTACTATGGCAACGAACCTAGAAGACCTGGTAGTCCAAGCAGAACAGGGAATAAGAAGAATCCTTTACAGAGGAATGGTAAAGTCAGTAAGTGTTCTGAATGCTACTCTGAATATCACTGGAGGAAAGATTGTCCTAAGCTGAAGAGTACAAAGATGACATACTTTGTATCACAACTATTAGAAACTGATTTTGAAGAATCAGAAGAGGATCTTTATTTTGCTTCGTCTGTTGCGAACATGGCACTTCTAGACACAGGAGCACCATCTACTGTATGTGGTGAATCATGGTATAACATTTTCCTTGAATCCCTCACTCCTGCAGAAAAACTAGAAGTCAGAGAGGAGAAGTGTGAGAAGATTTTCAGATTTGGTGACGGTAAGAGTGTTGCTTCTAAAACTATGAAGATCATACCGATAAGGCTGTGTGGACATGATATGTTACTAAGGACACATATGATACAACAGAATATTCCCCTACTATTGTCTAGAGATGCAATGGAAAAGATGAAATGCATCATAGATCTTAAGAATGTCAAGTTTTGGATAGAAAAGAACAACCAGGATCTCATCAAGACAGATTCAGGTCATGTTGCTGTGGCGATTGGTAGATCCAATGCAGTAGAGAAAGAATGCAAGGACGTTACCTGCAAAGATTGTCAAAGAATTTTCATGCTGTTGAGTTCTCAAAAGACTCCGAGACAGAGAGCCGAACATATCCATAGGTACTTTGCACACGCAAGCAGTGCTAAGATTAGTGAGATTGTGAAACAATCAACTCTTCCAGACAGGAAAGAGATCATAGAAGAACTATGGAGGTTGGACAAGTCATGTGAAGTTTGTATGAAACACAAGAGAGAATCACCTAGGAGGAGAGTAGCTTTACCTCAAGGAAAGATTTTCAATGATGTTGTAGCATTAGATTTGAAACAACTATCAGATAAATCTCTTATTCTACATGCTGTAGACACTCTGACGAGGTATTCAGGAGTTGTGCCTATCAAATCGAAATCTGCTAATGAGATTGTAGAGAAATTGTTTCAAATATGGATAAGCATATTCGGCAGACCAGCAAAATTTATAAGTGACAATGGGGGCGAATTCATTAACCATGAATTTATGGAGTTATGCATGCAATTTGGTATACAGTTGCAGACCTCGCCGAGTGAGTCACCGTGGTGCCAGGGTATTGTTGAAAGACACAATGCAATAATTGGACAGATGATAGACAAAGTTATGAACAGTACTGGATGTAACAGAGGAGTAGCCTGCTGCTGGGCAATGAATGCCAAAAACACTTTAAGTAACATCTATGGTTTTTCTCCTCATTTCCTTGTGTTCGGGAGAAATCCTGTTATACCGGATATTTTGAATACCGAAAGTCTTTCAATGCTAAACGAAAGCACAAGTAGTAGAGTTGTGGCAGAACATTTGAACGCGATGCACACGAGTAGGAAAGCATTTATGGAGATACAGAACAGCGATAGACTGAAGAGAGCGTTTAAACAGAGGATTTACCAGGATACCACAGCTAAATTTGTTCCTGGAGACGAGGTATATTGGAAAAGAGAAGAAGGAAACTTCGTGGGACCAGCAACTGTAGTTGGTCAGTTGGGGAACCAAGTATTGATTTGGAATTTTGGTCGTGTTGTGAAAATAAATCCTAGCAGAGTGAAAATGATACTGAGAGATGAAGCCAGAGAAAAGTTGGGAGTAATTGGGAAGTCTTTACCTGTAAGTGACGACAGAAAGTCACCGTGTCAGGAAGGTGATCACAGAGGAACCCCGATGTTGGAAGCAGAGGAGGAATGTGATACGAGTTCAGAGAATTCTGATGAAGACAAAGACCCCATTGATAGGGGAACTAATGTGGTTCCAGACCCTAATGAGAGTGAATTGGGAAGCCATCCTGAAGAGGTACAGAATGATCCTCGTGAGGCACAAAGCTATACTCAAGTTATTGAGGGAGAGGAGACAGATTTTGAAGTTGAAAAGCAGAGTCTGCCTCAAGAGTTAGAGAAACCTGAGACTGAAAATCAGAGTCAGAATCAGGAGGAACAGGGAGAAAATATTGGAAATCAGAGCCAATCTCCTGTTGAGAGTAGTGATGAAATTAGTGTTGAAACTCAAATAAAGTCGGGACAGCTGACAGAAAAAGATACTGTCTATTTGACCAAGACAGTAGACGCAGAAGTACAGAAAGCAAAGACCGCTGAACTGGATAGATTCAAAGAGTATTCAGTTTATCTAGAAGTGAAAGACAGAGGTCAGTTTGCAGTGTCAACCAAATGGGTGGTGACACAGAAAGGAAACAAGACTAAAGCTAGGTTAGTAGCTCGTGGGTTTGAAGAGATGAAGAGTAATGTGACAGACTCACCCACAGCAGCAGCAGCCAGTAAGAGGATCATGTTGATGTTGACAGCTTCACATGGTTGGAAACTGGAAGCTTTAGACATTGCAGCAGCATTTCTTCAAGCAGATGCAATGATGAGAGATGTTTTAGTGAGACCACCAAGTGATATAAGGAAAAGTGGAGTTTTATGGCAGCTGAATAAGCCTATGTATGGACTAGAAGACTCCTCAAGACAGTGGTATCTGACGCTGAAACAAACGTTGATAGACTTAAATTGTACTATGTCTAAGCTAGACAAATCCTTGTTTATGTTTTATGAAGAAAACAAGTTCCAAGGAGTATTAGTGACACATGTTGATGACATAATATTTGGGGGTACTACCAAATTTAAAAACAACGTGATTGCGAAACTTGCTGATAAGTTCAAGATCAGTAGAATGGTAGCTGGGATATTTGAGTATCTTGGCTGGAACATTGAACAATCCACAGACCACATTACAGTGGATCAGAGAAGCTATGCTAAGGAGATCAAAAGAGTGGAGTTGCAAAGTCTGAGGAAGAACCAGCTGGATGATCTACTGGACAAGAATGAAGTTACCCTTTACCAGAAACTTCTTGGAAAGCTTCTTTGGCTTTCTTGTCAGACAAGACCTGATCTTACCTTTGATACTATGGAGCATAGTATGTACAACAAGAAACCAACAGTTCGCA